TTGGTGGGTTTTCTAAACCTTGGACTTTTTCCCACCAAAGTTTTTTGTGTAGTTACAAACATGGACGGTGACTCTTAAAAAGACCGAATTTGCTTTTTCTTTTATTTTGCTAACCACTACACTGCATTCTGTATGGTTAATTTCTTTGTAGAGAAGAAATCTCGGTACCCATAGAATCAAGATAAGCGTGCTGCTGACTAAGTGAGCTTTCAATCAATGCATCATGGAAAAGCTAAGGAAGGAGGTATAGCATTTCAAACACAGGTAGGTACGTTTGGTTACGCTTACTCTGTGAGGCACTATTTCATATAACAGATTCTTATTCCACTCTGGATGGATAATTTTATTTTCCACTTAGCAAAACCTATTGGCTTGGACTGATTCTTGCCAGGGAACCAGGCTTCATAATAAAGGCAGTAAATTCTGATTTTGTGCTTGTTTGATAATTAATAGTGCAGTGTCAGCAGCAGTGCAAAATGCAAGTGTCTTTTTTTTTCCCTGCTTCTGCAAGTTATAAAAGATGGGTTATAAGGCGACAGCTTTATGCTGAGTATCTAAGGCACACACCATTTCCTAAAATGAGGTTAACAGACTCAATGGAGGTTCAGCTATGCCTGTGAATGTATTTGTGTGAGGCCACCCCATTAACCTGGCATCTTTTGGGCCAAGTGCAACTACAGATACAGTTACATTAGCAACCATTCTGCCCCCTCTGTGGATATTCAGTTTATAGCAACACTGGTTTTGCCTTACTGCTAAAAGAGCAACAAAAGTGGTGGGGGGGTTGTCAGTTTACTTATACTAATTATAAATGTTAGAGATATAGAGATATTTAATATGGGTGGAAAAAAAGAAAGAGGCATAGGAAAGAAAATGCCATGTAAACTTGATGCTGCTGAAATATATATATATTTTTTCCATTATCACCACACTCCAGTATTTACCAAAGCCTAAACAAAAGCAATAATTTGAAGTCTTAACTAAGCTATAGAGTCACAGCTCTGTCAGACAGTCACATCAGAAAAAGCCTCTAAGCGCAGCCCCAGCCTGAGCACCTCTTGGCTGTTGATGACAGAGCCAAGCAAGTGAAACCTCCCGTGTGCCAGGACAGAGCAAACCACAGAGAAGTCGCGATCCAGGCGAGTGTGCGGGTGTCTTGTCTGTCAGGGCAGGATTAGACCCATTTCATTTACCTGAGAAGCCAGTGGATGCCCATGCGC